GGTGAGTGGCGACGATGTGGAAGAGTTGGTTTCGCCATTCGGCAATTTCGTCATTCGGCAGACTTTCTGGAACGGATTAATCACAAAACTCAGGGGTCCACTGTATCTCTCTCTCCTCCGCTCCAATGAGTACATGTTCAAGACTTGAAGGCGTTCCCAGTAATTTATGTGCTTTACTGGCTCAATGCGAGCCAAAAACGATCTCTGTATTTGTTCCACCTCTGCTATTTCTCCTGCTTTGAATGGGGCCATCAGCACTGAGCAATATTCTAAATGAGGAAACACTAGCGATTTGAAGAGTGTCACCATCGACATTATTTCCCTTGTTTAGAAAGTTCTCAATACCCACCCCGTCATCTTCTTGGCTGTCATGATCTTTGTCTACCTGGAGTTTACCTGGAGAGAGTTCTGGGGGTCAATGCCCCAGTGACCCGGTCTGTGACCAGGCCTCATGGTGGATCAGAGCCTGATCAACCAGGCTGTTACTGCTGGCTGCACGCAAACCAACGTACGAGCCACAGCCGACTGGTCAGGTACCGACTTTAGGTGCTTGCCCAGTGCCTGCTTGAAGACAGCCAGGGCTCTATTGGTAATCCCCCTTATGTATGCTGGGAGGTAGTTGAACAGTCTCGGGCCCCTGACACTTATTCTGTTGTCTCTTAACGTGTTAGTGACACCCCTGCTTTTCATTGGGGAGATGTTGCATCGTCTGCCAAGTCGTTTGCTTTCGTAGCGAGTGATTTTCGTGTGCAAGTTCGGTACTAGTCCCTCTAGGATTTTCCAGGTGTATATAATTATGTATCTCTCCCGCCTGCATTCCAGGGAATACAGGTTCAGGAACTTCAAGCGCTCCCAGTAATTGAGGTGTTTTATCTCCGTTATGTGCGCCATGAAGGTTCTCTGTACATTTTCTAGGTCAGCAATTTCACCTGCCTTGAAAAGTGCTGTTAGTGTGCAGCAATATTCCAGCCTAGACAGAACAAGCGACCTGAAGAGTGTCATTATGGGCTTGGCATCCCTAGTTTTGAAAGTTCTCATTATCCATCCTGTCATTTTTTTAGCAGATGCAATTGATACAATGTTATGGTCCTTGAAGGTGAGATCCTCCGACATGATCACTCCCAGGTCTTTGACGGTTTTTTGCTCTATTTTGCGGCTAGAATTTGTTTTGTACTCTGATGAAGTTTTAATTTCCTCATGTTTACCATATCGGAGTAATTGAAATTTCTCATCGTTATGGTCTTTAAAAGAAAGGACAGCTGACATAATTATAACCAAGTATTGTATGTGTTTTACAAGTTTTGTATATAGTGTTCCTTTTGAGTTCTTCATTCTTTCCATATCTAAGCAGCTGGAACTTATCATCATTGAACATCATGTTGTTCTCCACTGCCCACTGGAAAACCCTGCTTATGTCTTCCTGTAATTTTTCAGTTTCCTCTACCTTAGTGACTTTCATGCTTATTTTAGTGTCATCTGCAAATGATGATACAAAAGTGTGCCGGGTAATTTTTATCTATGTCTGCTATGAGGATGAGAAACAGCAAAGCTCAGTGCCTTGGGGCACTGAGCATTTTACCTCGCTGATGCTGGATCTTGCTCTGTTTACTACTACATTCTGTGTTGTGTGTGTTAGGAACCTGAAAATCCATCTGCCTACATTTCCCATAATTCCCATGGCTCTCATTTTGTCCGCTATCACACCATGATCGCATTCTGTCAAATGCCTTTGCAAATTCTGTGTAAATCACATCTGTGTTTTGGTCGTCTTCCAACGCCTCCATAATTCTGTCATAATGATTCAGCAGCTGTGACAGGCATGATTGGTCTGCTCTAAAACCATGCTGCTTCGGGTTACACTGGTTGTGCTGGTCCATGAAATTTGTAATCTGCCGTCTCATTACTCTTTCGAAGATTATTATGATGTGACAAGTTAGGGCTACTGGTCTGTAATTTTTAGCTAGTGCTCTACTACCTCTCTTATGCAAAGGAGCTATGTCTGCACTCTTTAAGGCCTCCAATATTTCACCTAGATCTAAGCTCTTTCTCCAAAGAATACTGAGGGCTCATGTTAGTGGTACTTTGCACTTCTTTATAAATAGGGCATTCCATGAATCTGGTCCAGGTGCTGAGGTAATGGGTATGTTATCCATTTCTTTTTCAAAATCTATGGGATTCGTACTAATGTCAGTTAGTTGGTCTGCACAGCTTTCTGCTGGAGTGAAAAATGTTTCTGCATTTTCTACCTTGCTGTCATTTAGTGGGCTGTTGAACATTTACTCATACTGTTCTTTTAGGATTTCACTCATTTCCTGTTCATCGTCAGGTTTATTTTTTCCCAGTTAATTTTATGGTTGTTAAAATTAAACTTACTGAACATCCCGCCTCTAACATTAATGGCACAGTTCCCTAACCCTGAGTTAATAATTGTTTGAACTTCTATGATGTTGTGATCAGAGTATATTGTTTTTGTAACTGTTGTCTCTGACTAGCTCCTTGTTGTTTGTGAATATCAAATCCAGGGTATTTTCATTTCTAGTGGGATCAGTTATCTGTTGGTTCAAAGAGTACTTTTCACAAAGCCTCATTAATTCCCTAGTATGTGCCTGTTGAGCCAGGGTGCTTCCAGGAGATATTTCTGGTATAACATTGTGTTGTGCCATCTTCCATTTTACATGTGGGAGATTAAAATCTCCAAGGAGTAAAATATTTGGTGTGGGATTTTCTAGCCTATCCAGATAGCTATCTATCTTCCTTAACTGATCTGTGAATTCCTCAGCAGTTGCTGATGGTAGTTTATATACTAGGATAATTACCAAATTCCTGTTTTCAGCTTTAATGCCTAGGATTTCTGTTATATCATTCGTAGAATTCAGGACATCTGTGCAACAAGAAGTATCTTTTACATAGTCCTACTCCTCCCTGTGACCTATTAATTCGATCACATCTATACATGTTATAGTTTTCTATCTTTCTCTCTCCATTCAAAACATCCCTACTGGAAATCCCTAGATTTGTACTCCTGGCATATAGGTGAGAAATATAGATCATAATCTACACCTTGAAAATTCTGGAAGGATTGTTCCCAAACCTGCACACTGAAATTGCTCCACATGAAAGCAGAGGCCTGGCAGTGCAATGTATCTCCAATGAAAAGCAGGGCACAGTAAGCACAGTGAGAGAGAACTCAACAATTATAAAGGGATCAAGACTCATAAACGCACTCCGGCATAAGAGAAATTACCAACAAATCCCTGGCTGTCTTAATGAGGGAATTTTATAAGTTCCTAAAGTCAGTTTCTGATCATCTCAGCTGTGGTGCATACATTGGAATGCCTGCAGTTGGCACCAACAGTATGGTTTATCAGGCCAACAACTGGGAGGTCTTATCTGGGATTGGGAGATGGGGCTGTGACCCCCAAAATCAACTCCAGGTAGATGATGAACAGTAGAAGAAATGATGGAAAAACTCAATTCCAAGATAGAGGGAAACAGATAAGATGAGGAAGAACCTGAAACAACTCATTACACACTGAAATATACACTGGTAAAGCTTCAGACTTTCTACACTGAAAAGTCACATGAAACACCTACAAGTATTTCTGTGAAGCACACTACTGACCAGGCAGTTCTTCCTGTTAGTTGTGAAATAGAACTGTAAGGAAAAACAGAGCAGGGATGCATTACAGAATACCTGATAACTCAATAGGTACAACCATCTACTAACATCTGTGTATTGATTTCAACCCAACAAGAGGAGCTGTCCACCTCAGTCCAAGAAACACAACCATCCACCTCAGCCCAGGTACAGCCACATATCCCTTTCCACAACCAACATTTTAAGGCAAGAAATGAATTGTTTTAAGGAATCCTGTAAGGCTTTTTTTTAGGTCTCAAAAATATAACAAACACTATCTTATGGGAGAGTACACTAATTTTTTTTTTTCAACAAACCGGCCGTATCCCACCAAGGCAGGGTGGCCCAAAAAGAAAAACGAAAGAGTATACTAATATTACATAATTAAATGTTTTTGTGTGTAGCAGCTACAGAGCTGCTACATACAAGTTCACAGATGGAGAAGAGACAGAGAAGCTTACAGATAGCTGGGTTGTCAATGGGTATAAGTATGCCTTAGGTGGGTTATTAGTATATGACAGATAAACAGAGATGGCAGTTACCAGAAAGCAGATATATTATCATTCTCTGTCATAAAACAAATGATGACAAGTGTTATGATGAAGCAATATTGTGACTGAAATTCAGTATTGTGATTGTGCTAAGCTCATGCAGTGTGTTATTAATTACTATGGTGGTGTTGTAAAGCTATCAAGCATTGCATTAAATCATAATCTAATTTTTTAAATGACAACAGGCATTTCCCAAGAAAGTCTGATTATCTAGAGAAGGAAATGCATTCATCATAATTCACTCAATAGCAATTTTGTCATTAGTCCATATACATAACAATTTAATTAATTCTCCTGAATGTAACATCCCCACCCATCCTTCAGAGTGAAGAAACTCTTGTGCATTAACTGTTTTAATCAAGCTCATCCATGGTAATACGTACAGTGGTAAAACATACCAACAGTAGGTATGTTATGGCATTTCAGTATTCAAGATGTTTTGTCCACCAGAGACTATCAGTTCATGAATTAATAGTCCCCTGTGGACAAAAAGTCTGTTAAGAAAATAAGAAAATGCCATAACCTGTACAATGTATGTTGTACACATCCAGTTACTACCCTTAACCCTCTAACTGTCCAAACGTAGATCTACGTTTGCGCTCGTAGCACTCCGCCCTTGATTTTCTCCATAACAGAGAATGTAAAAAAACGTAGATCTACTTTTGGAGCGCTACACGAGCAAACGTAGATCTTCGTTTGAACAGTTTACGGGTTAAACAACACAATGAGAATATGTATAAATACACTTGTATGCTTAGAGTTACAGAGAAGAAAATCTAATTCAAATAATAGTAATTATGTGTGGGACTTACTTCCTGGCATCACTGGCAGATGTTTGTACTGAGTCACCAGAACCATTACCAGAATCTGAACCCGAGGGCTGATACATCTCTGACAAGCGCGAGTGTCGGGGAGTCGATGTTGTGTCAGTACATGCTGTCACATCTTCACTATTTTTAAAATTGTTGTCTGTTTCACTACTTCCTGTAGGAGTTTTTACATCATCTGCTGAAGATTGTATTTTTAAATCTTTCATTTCATCTTCATCAAGCTCATCTATCTCGGCATATAATCGTTCATTAATACTTGTTTGTGGCTTCTTGGCTTAATTTTAACAGATGGAACACGTGAAGGTTTTGGTGGAGGTTCCTCCTCTGATAATTTTTCTAATGGTTTATCTTCCTCGTGGACTCCAAGACCCATTTCTGTAGACAAACTTGCCAGATGCTCTGAGGCTATTGTAAAAGATTTTTGTGCCATTTTCCGTGGTAATGACTGTGAGGTGAATTTATTTTGCTCAGCAGTTGGTCGAGAGCCAATTACTCCATCGTTACTGCAACTTTTCTCATCAATCCTGCTAGGTACTGAAAAACAAAATCTAAAATGTAATTATTCAGAGATATTGTATTATTAAGATTACAACAAGGTAAGAAGTAACTATGTAAAGTACAGTATTTAAACAAAAGTGAGTATTTCCCCCCAATACCTCCTTCAGGTGGCTCATCTGGGGGTCTTGACGTACTGCTGCTCCGTGTTTTAATGGGCAATGTTGGTGCTGTGTCTCGTCTCATCCTGGGTGGAGAGTGAGCAGGGCTCCTCACTATGGTGCAGCCCACACCTACAGGGCTGCTATATGAGTGCTGGTGCCTTAGCATACTCCCACCTATCATGCCACCCCTAAGAAATTAAACAATTTTAATTGTGTGTGTTTTTAATTTAGTTATTTTCAGTCATGCTAAATTCTATGAATTAGTGTTGATAAACTAGTTAAAATAATATAAAATTCATCCAATTACCCAGCACAGCACAGTCCATAATGACTGCTACCCATTAGCATTTCATAAAGGCTGAAGACAATACCTTCATTACTGCAATACTATTCAAGATAATGAGTGGTGCTGGCAAGATGTTTAACATTCACTTTGCATACCATACATACTTACCCAGGAATAGGTTCAGATGATCTGTTAATTGGTCGGCTAAGAGTACCATGTGAGAAGGTGTGGGCAGTCTGAGCAGCATACTTAGAAGCATAAAAACTCAATGGTGCTGTGCGATTGACAGGTGTTGAGATGCGGGCACCAGATGAGACTGTGATAGGTTTTTTGCCACCAACGTATGCCCTCACCAGGTCAGGGATAGAGTCGTAGGCATCATCCTCCAACTGGTACTGTATCCTTTCATAAACTGTGTTGGGTTGCACTACTGTCTGAAGAAAAATATGCTTGTAAGTAAATGTGTATATGTGTAGTTTTATTGCTAACTTAATGTGTGACAGTGTAAAAATGTTATTAGGCATTAATATGCATTTAAAAGGGAAAAAAAGGGTGATTCACTTTACAGTGATTTTCGCTTTATGGCAGTAGCCCTGAACCTAACCTACATACTGCGTAAGTGGGGGTGTCCTGTATATAACCTACGTTTATAAAAACAATTACGCTGTCCATCTCCAACCAAGGTAGGGTGACCCAAAATAAGGAAACTCGATGAACATCAACCCTCAAACCACAGTATCACGTGGTAAATGCTCCTAATATGCCATTGCTCATGTAACAAAATTCAATTTCATTGTATTGTAATGATTAAGACAAAGAACAAATAACAATATAACTATGGAATAAGTAGAACTGATAGATAAAAATAATGCACAGTGTTACACAGGAATATGACTGTCTACCTTTTGTATGACGAAGTGGAGTGTCTGTGCAGACCAGCGGCAGGTCAGTACAAAGTCACCAGGCTGGGAGATACAGTCCCTAAAGGAAGAAAGTCCATTTAGTAAGGGTAAAAAAAATCTTATTTTTTTAATTAACACACTGGCCATTTTCCACAAAGGCAGGGTGACCCAAAAAAGAAGAAACTTTCATCATCATTCACTCCATCACTGTCTTGCCAGAGGCAAGACTGCGCTCTGTGCAGTGCCTGCGTAGAGTGCAGGCACTGTACTTCCCACCTCCAGGACTCAAGTCCGGCTTGCCGGTTAAAATATATTAATCAAATAAGTATTTCAGCAGTCTTCCCATCTATGGTAGTTTCATCTGCATATCTGTTAAAACAGCAATAAACAATAGTACAAAATATTTAATGGAGGCAATACACTTTTTGTCACTTTAGTGTATTCTAAGTGCTTTTCAGGCATTCTCAGTTGTAGTATGTTCAACTGACTGTGTAGACAGACTGTAACATGATAGACCCCAGTCTGAATTGCTGAAAAATATGTGGATATTACTAGGTGACCTCATTAGTTGCCTGACACCATCTGAAAAGAACCTCACTTATAGATTCATCAGGCTGCTGACCTGACCTTTATGCCTAAACATATATATACTGTCATCTTCACCTCTGCATATTAAAAGTGATCAAAGTCCCAAGATGGAAACTTTTTCTAATAAATATGCCCTAGTGTTTATTCACCTGTCTTTTCATACCACCATCAAGGTGATTCAAGTACAGACTCATGAGCCACATGTGGTCAGTTGGTTGACTTCTGTGATCCACAAACAGTCATACAAAAGAAATCAGTTCAATGAATTTTGTCATTCTAGTTATCAGTTTTTCATAAATTCTTTATGGAGCTTATGGAAATAAATCTGTATATTTACCCAACCAACATTCCTTGCTCAGCCAAAAACAGTAGTCATAAAACTGTAAGGCTTACAAGCTGCTCTATCACAGCCCTATTACTATATCAATAGTTGAGTCTTTGAACTGTGTGATGAGGAGGCCCAAATTATTTACTCTACAGACTGTTAAATCCTATCTTAAAAGAGTAGAATTGGTCAATGTTGTGTGTCTAGCGTATTACTGAGATACTCACCTTATCTAGGGAATGTGTGTGTTATGAGTGTTTTCTGTGTTACAGTGCTTGTAAAAGTTCCTAGGAATTTCTTTTTACCTTTTTCATTAAATGTTTGATAGCATTTCCTGGGAAGCTTTACTGCCCTACTAGGAGCCTTGCAGTAGTTTAGGAAGATTAAAGGTGTAATCTATACACTCATTGTATGTACACTATACGTATATTAATTCACCAATGTTGTCTTGCAGGAATGTAATATGGTTGAACTAGTAGCACCTTGTAAATAATATGCATAAACCTACTAACCCTCCTCAATTTAACTTCCATAGTGTAATATAATACATAAGTGTATATTAAATACATACTAGGGTCAAAGACAATATTTATGTGTACACATGTGCATCTACCTTTGCTGATACCTATCTCCAATACACCAGGAAGGAGGAGCAGCTGCTAGATTCAGGGAGTCCCAAAAGTCTAGAAAATATGAAGAAGTTGCCCATCATTATGTGTTTGTTCCCATAGGCTCGGAGACCCTTGGCTCTTGGGAAAGAGTGCATCTAAGTTCCTTAAGAAGCTAGGCAAAAGACTCATCAGGGTAACTAGGTATCCCAGTGCAGCTAGTTTTCTGTTCCAGCGACTCAGCGCTGCTGTTCAGAGGGGTAATGCCTGCTGTATCTTGGGCACACGCCCCAGCTCTGAGGAGCTGGATGAAATTTTTTAATTATAATCAGTGACAAACACGTAACAATATGTACTAGACATGGATCTCATGGATACCTCATGTACTGTATTTGCCATCTGTATATCAACAATGTATCTCTTAAATCTTTTGTCCCATATTATGTAATAAAATATACCTATTGGTAAAAGAGAATGAAAATATAGGGTGGTAGGGGAACTGGAATATTCAAATGGCTTCAGGAAGAAATTCAATATTCTTCCTTGAAGCCTTTTTATCCACTTCTCAGAGGCTATGGGTCCCACAATTTGCACAGAGATGGACCCCATCTTGGTAAATATAAAATTCTTTTATAATATATACATTACTATACACCCCTAGAGGTAAAAATAATAAATTTAATAATTACATACATATTATTATGCCAGTTTCTTTGCTCCTAAACTCAAGAGTCTGTCCCTGGCACAATTGAATTAAAATAATAATCTTAAATATCAAAATCAACATTTTCCTTAATCATCTATAAAGGGTGAAGCCACTGTGAATATTATTATTATTATAATCAAGGGGGAAGCGCTAAACCCGGAGGATTATACAGCGCCTGGGGGGGGATGTGGAAGGCATTCAGGCTTAATTCAGGGAACTGGAGCACAGATCCAATTCCCTAAATCAAGAGCCCCTCACCAACATCAAGGAACCTTCCTTGAGGGGCCACTGTGAATAGTAATACTATATTTACTTTCACTATTTCTTTACCATTTGATTATTACTGATAATAGTTATGAAAATGAGAATATGACAGTTGTAGTAGCACTTCAATGGTCAACTAGACCTTACAGCAAAGAGTACAAAGAGCCATTCACAATACCATATAATTAAACAGTAAATTTATGGTTTGTACATTATTTATGTGATATTTTACATGATGAGTAAGACAAGTGTGCAACTGGAGAAGAGCTCAGCTCCATGGAGCTGAACTCTTCTCCACACTGAAGGACTGACCACCTCAAATACTATTTCTCCAAGGTTGATGGACTGATTACATCATCTTCGTTTCACTACTACACCTGCTGCCTCTGTATCTGACTGAAGCAGCCTATTGTGTAGGCTAAACATTTCATCAATAAAGATACCCAAATGTTACATGTCTTATTCATCAACATGTGGTATTTTATACCATTTTCAACATATTTTACATACCATCACACTAATAATGTGTGAGGTGTATTTGCAGCATCTGATTCTCATGCAGTATGCAGTGCTAAAGGCACAGTAAACATGACATTTTTTTTATAAGATGTTTTGGAGTAGTACTAAAATATATCTTAATGTGAAGGAAAAGCTACAAGTGAGGCATACAAGCATACACAGTCCCCTGCAAAAATGTAAACATTTAAGCCCCCAAGAAATGCTAGCAATCTTCAAACTCTTAAAGAAAGAGTACTATATTGAAAAAACAGTGGAACCTTGGTTTTTGTATGACCTAGTTGGAGGCAATTCTTGGAGGAAATTCTCTATAAAATGTATTTTTTGTTAATATTTTTGGGTGTCTGGAATAGAACCAATTAATCTGTTCCAGACACAAAAATATTAGCAAAAAATACATTTAACAGAGAATTTTCTCCAAGAATTGCCTCCAACTAGGGCATACGAAAACCGAGGTTCCACTGTAATACTTAAATACATATATATATATATGTATTCCAGAAGAACAAGACTGAACATTTTGTAGAATGTGGAGCTCGAACACACAGTGGTTAGCTCACTGGCTTGCCAGTTCTAGGACTGGTTCACCATGGGTGCAAACCCGGAAGTAAATAAGTCCTACAACTTCCCGGTTTACTGGGAAGTTCATAAAGTTAATTTTGAGAGTCGGTTCTGAAATCCTCAGACTCAGCTCATTCTTAACATCCTATACAGTGGAACCCTGCTTAACGATCACCTCCCAATGTGACCAATTATGTAAGTGTATTTATGTAAGTGCGTTTGTACGTTTATGTTTGGGGGTCTGAAATGGACTAATCTACTTCACAATATTCCTTATGGGAACAAATTTGGTCAGTACTGGCACCTGAACATACTTCTGGAATGAAAAAATATCGTTAACCGGGGGTCCACTGTATATAATGAAGTGTACCAACCTGATGAGGAAAGAGCCATCTTTGAGAACCACCTCCTCAGCACGGGCCCGGGGAATGGTGCCATGGTACCAAGCATGAGAACGAAGGTCCCCAGAGTCAAGGCTCAACTCCCATTCCAGAAGTTTGCGAAGTTCTCCAGCCTCTACCACCGTATCTGAAGAGTCCTTCTCAAGGTCGAAGGACTGGAAAGAAAAAAATGTGTGAATGATGTATCAGTAATATTAATAGACATAAATGATACCCCCGGTATGTCCCGCTAAGTTTTCTCCAACACTATGAGGCTACAATCACTTGTATATTATCATTGCAAACAAAACTAAGCATTAAACCCACAAGGGTCATACAGTGCTGCAGGATGGGTTATGCTAAGATGAAATGAGCAAACATCAGAAATCGGCAAGGGTTAGGGGTGCGTGTATGTGTATATAGCAACACTCTTCTTGTCAAATAAGGCAAGCAAAAATTTGTGTATTCAATAATTTCACAAAAATCATTCCAAACCTAATGAAAAATATATATTTTATTGTGTTTGTTTATTATTAAATTACTGAAAACTTATCTAAAATATACTTAGTTGGATTAGGCTAAATTAAATTGCACTTGTTATAATAAGGTTAGGCAAGTTATCTAAGGTCCTTTTGGAACAAAATTATTAATTTTTACATGAACATAATGAAAAAATATATCTTTAAAGATAGAGGACGAAATTTTAGAAAGGACTTAATTTTAAACGAGTTCTTGCTAATTGACAAATTTTACCTATTCGGCACGACATATACATATAATATACCTGTGGCCGGCATCAAGTGGCTTCCTTCTCCAACTGCCTAGCACTGGTTCAGGTTCTTCTTTTGCCTGCTGGTCAACCAGGCTGTTGCTGTTGGCAGCCTTTTGACCTACATATCCATCACAGCCTGGTTCATAAGGCACTTGGTAGAGGTAGTGATTGAGTTATCTTTGAAGACTTGTAATTGTTTTCTGGTAATCTTTCTGATACCTGCTGGCAGCAGGTTAAATTGTTGCAACCTACATATGCTCTCTTCCCGAGCCCGTGCTTTCCCGAGTTTATTTTACACTTCCTTATCTCTCTCCACATGTTATGGTAGTGTAAGTACCTTACACGCATGTACTATCTTTGTCCTCTACTCCAGGTACATATGCACTAAGTCATTTCTGGTACTGTAGTTTAAATGCTGTATTATCTATGTGGGAAGTAAAGGACTGTTGTATCTGTCCCACCTCTGATGTGTGTCTTGTATTTAAATTAGTTAAAACCAAACATGACTCCAAGTAAAAGAGAAAGAGAGAGGGGAAGGTAGGTGATTTAAAGCCACCACTGTCATTATTTCCCTTGTTTTGAAGGTGCTGTATAGCCCTTGTGGCTTAGCGCTTCTTTTTTATTATAATAATAATAATTGTTTTGAAGGTTGTCATTATCCACCCAATATTTTTTTCTAACTTTTGCAACATTTGCTTTGCTGACTTCTCTATAAGACAGGCCAGCTGACGTTATCACACCTAGGTTTTATTAGGATTCTCCTACATATGTCCCTCTTAAATTATTCATTATCTTATCTGAACAGTTTGAATTTTTCAAAAATGTGCAGTTATTTTCTACTGCCCTCTGGGAAACTTTGCTCACATCATTTTCCATTTTTTTCTATGCCTTCTTTGGAGGTGACTCATACTTTTTTTAGTATCTGAATTTTATTATTGTAATCAAGGGGAAAGCGCTAAACCCGTAGGCTTATACAGCACCTGTCGGGGGATGGAAGGTATTCAGGGTTAATTCAGGGAACTGGAGCACAGATCCAGTTCCCTGAATCAAGAGCCCTCACCAGCATCAAGGAACCTTCCTTGAGGGGTTTAGTATCTGAAGATGATAGGAAGCTGTTTGTTATAAGAGTGAGAAGCTGTGAAGGGACCAGAACCATACCTTGGAGTGCTGAACTTTTTTCTCTAAACAAAACTTTACTTACATCTACTACTCTTTGTATACTTTTCATCAGAAAATCTAATATTCACTTGCCTATTTTTCCTGTTATATTTATGGACGTCATGTTCAGTTCTATCACCCCACGATCGTATTTTTCAAATAGCTTCTTCCAGGGTTCTAGTGTGAGCCCACTGGCTGGCTGGAGGGTATAGTATCTTGTTTACCGTTCTAATATATATGGAGGTACTCTTTGTTGGTCACTGACCATCAATGAGCTAAATTTATATAATCAACAAACTGTATTCTCTAATTACGTAACAGTGTTTCGTGTACCTTATAAAATCACCACTTTGGAATATCCGGCTAGTACTGCTAAAGCAATGGTCCAGTGGGATGTCCACTGTAACCTTCTTGTTAGCAACTAAGTGTAATTATAACTTTTCTATATGACGATATTATGTATAAACTAGTTGAGTAAACTCGGTGCAACAAGTAATTGTTAGTTCTTCCCTCACACCACCAAACAGCGTATATATTACTCTTTGATGTTATAGTAGCACCTGTACTATTATTGTTCTATATATACTACATAAATGTATATACGGGTTAGAGTAAAATTCACGTTTAATACAAATATAACTGTGTGCCTGAGCATGTATTTAAGTGGTTGCCATTGTATATAATGATGGATGAAGCCACTTAGTGTTGCATCCGGTGTATAACACTTGTAGAGAGGGACCTCCACCTCAACACCTGCACATCAACTTCATATTACATTACTCAGTGCTGCCCTCAGCTGACGACCCACTCTCCTCTATAAATAACTCGTCTAGCAAAGTATATTTTGCAGTGTGTGTGTGTACTCACCTATTTGTGGTTGCAGGGGTCGAGTCATAGGTCCAGGCCCCGCCTCTTCACTAATTGCTAATGGGTCCTCTCTCACTCCCTGCTCCATGAACTTCATCAAACCTCGTCTATGTATGGTCCCCGTCTCCACTACTTACTTTCTAGGCTATTCCACTGCTTGACAACTTTATGACTGAAGAAATACTTCCTAACATCCCTTTGATTCATCTGAGTCTTCAACTTCCAAATGTGACCTCTTGTTTCTGAGTCCCCCTCCCTGGAACATCCTGTCTTTGTCCACCTTGTTTATTCTGCGCAGTATTTTATATATATATATATATATATAATTATATTATTATATATATATATATATATATATATATATAATATTATGTCGTGCCGAATACGTAAAACTGGTCAATTAGCAAGAGCTCATTTAAAATTAAGTTCTTTCTAAAATTTTCTCTTATAGGTTTAAAGATATACTTTTTTCATTAATGTTAATGTAAAAAAATTTAATTGTGCACCAGAAGAATTTTAGAAAACTTACCTAACCTTATCATAACAAGAACAATTTATTTTAGCCTAATCATACTAAATACCTGGAGTTTACCTGGAGAGAGTTCCGGGGGTCAACGCCCCCGCGGCCCGGTCTGAGACCAGGCCTCCTGGTGGATCAGAGCCTGATCAACCAGGCTGTTGCTGCTGGCTGCACGCAAACCAACATACGAGCCACAGCCCGGCTGATCCGGAACTGACTTTAGGTGCTTGTCCAGTGCCAGCTTGAAGACTGCCAGGGGTCTGTTGGTAATCCCCCTTATGTGTGCTGGGAGGCAGTTGAACAGTCTCGGGCCCCTGACACTTATTGTATGGTCTCTTAACGTGCTAGTGACACCCCTGCTTTTCATTGGGGGGATGGTGCATCGTCTGCCAAGTCTTTTGCTTTCGTAGTGGGTGATTTTCGTGTGCAAGTTCGGTATTAGTCCCTCTAGGATTTTCCAGGTGTATATAATCATGTATCTCTCCCTCCTGCGTTCCAGGGAATACAGGTTTAGGAACCTCAAGCGCTCCCAATAATTGAGGTGTTTTATCTCCGTTATGCGCGCCGTGAAAGTTCTCTGTACATATGTTTTAAATGCGTTTACAATAATTTAATACTAAACAAACACAATGAAATATATTTTTTTTGTTATGTTTAAAATGATTTTTGAGAAATATTGCATACACAAATTTTCGCTTGTCCTATATGGCAAGATGAGCGTTGCTATTTAAGCCAAGATCGCAAGTTCTGCCTATTCGGCACGATATATATATATATATATATATATATATATATATATATATATATATATATAATATATATATATATATATATATATATATATATATATATTATATATTATATATATATATATACACGTGTGTGTGTGTGTGTGTGTGTGTGTTGTGTACTCACCTATTTGTGGTTGCAGGGTCGATTCATAGCTCCTGGCCCCGCCTGTGTGTTGTGTGTGTGTGTGTGTGTGTGTGTGTGTGTGTTGTGTGTGTACTCACCTAATTGTACTCACCTAATTGTGGTTGCAGGGGTTCGAGACTCAGCTCCTGGCCCCGCCTCTTCACTGATCGCTACTGGGTCCTCTCTCTCTCTCTCTGCTTCCTGAGCTTTGTCATACCTCTTCTTAAAACTATGTATGGTTCCTGCCTCCACTACTTCACTTGCTAGGCTATTCCACTTGCTGACAACTCTATGACTGAAGAAATACTTCCTAACGTCCCTGTGACTCGTCTGAGTCTTCAGCTTCCAGTTGTGACCCCTTTCCCTGTGTCCCCTCTCTGGAACATCCTATCTCTGTCCACCTTGTCTATTCCCCGCAGTATCTTGTATGTCCGTTATCATGTCTCCCCTGACCCTTCTGTCCTCCAGTGTCGTCAGTCCCATTTCCCTCAACCTTTCCTCGTACGACATTCCCTTGAGCTCTGGGACTAGCCTTGTTGCAAACCTTTGTACTTTCTCTAACTTCTTGACGTGCTTGTGTGTGTGTGTGTGTGTGTGTGTGTGTGTGTGTGTGTGTGTGGTGTGTGTGTGTGTGTGTGTGTGTGTGTGTGTGTGTGTGTGTCCTGTGTTTTGTCTGTGTGTGTGTGGTGTGTGTGTGTGTGTGTCTATATCTGTCTGCCTGTCTGTGACTGGCTGTCTCTGCCTCTGCCTTTGTGTCTGTCTAATATGAGGTTGGGCCGTTTGAATTATGGAGTCCCGTTTATTTTTGGCAAAACAGGTATTGAGGAATTACATCATGTGAAACACCTGGGTGTCTTTATATGATGTTTCTCCAACCAGTGGTTGATAGGCGCTGCCTGATCCACAGTGAGGCATAGTCATGAATCGGGTCGTGGGGGCGCTGA